CTTCCGTAAATTTGTAAGCTTCTTCGCTGGAAGCCAATTTCATTGAGTGTCTGTAACGTGTTCCCTGGACATCGTGCAATTTGTCAATAGACTGTTGATAGGAAGAGGACCAAGGGTCATCAAAGCAGTCATTAGAGGAAAAAAAATTACGCATGCCTTTTCAATAAATGCAAAATGTGAAAGTCTCATTGCGTTTTTATGACGTCTCTGTGGAGGCTCTTTTCTTTCTTTCTTAATGTATACTTTATGTTGACGTTTTATTAAACGATTGAAATAAAATCATGAAGACTAATTTTATATGATGGATTTATATAATGGGCCAATGATTTTATATATAATAGATGTTTATATTGATACATGGATTACGTCTGTCAAATCGTAATCGAGTTTAAGTTTAAAAAAAAGATAATCAGAAACTGGCAGTTCTGATTTTTTTTACTTGGTTTCGTTTTTGCCTGAATCATTAAAACTAGTTGAAAGCCAGATGGAAAAATAAATGAATGCATAAACAAACAAATGTAATTCACATCCGTTTGAAAGAAAATATTTTTGGTTGGGAATTACAGGAACAAGAACATTTTGACATACATTTATTTAATTATCTAAAAATGTCTGTTCTTTAATGGAAAATTTCATTACCTTGACACACAAATAAATTTTCATACTTATTTTAGTGAAGAAAAAAAAATATACTCACATTGAGCTTATCTATTAAATCTGCAGGCCACCATTTTGTCTTCTACCATATATGCACTCAAAAGACTACTAGATAAAACTGATCAAAGACGGTCAGAAAACACAATGTCTCCTATGAATAAACTCTCCTTAATTTATGGTAGTAATATGGGGTCCGGTTATTGCTGCGGTTAGAATATTAGTATCATTTGAAGGAAATCCGGTATTAACACTGCGATATAATAACACAATTTTTGTACTTGTGAAGAATAGATCTTCCAACACTTTTCGAACATTTAGATTCTTAAATAATTAATTGTACACGACCGATTTCGCATTTGGTGTTCCGTGATTCATTGCTGCAATTATGAACATATTTTTCTATAAAGACGTTAATGAAGCCCATTCATCATTAAACTGGAGCAAACTACTAGATTTTTCCGTGTCTCTCCGTCTTTGCGTACCGAGAACTCATTAAAATCGGTTGCACTTCTGTTTGTGCAACTGCATTTGAACCAAAGTGAGAGATGTTGGCACAAACTTATGAAATATTTTTATACGATTTTACTTTTCAGTTGTAGGTTCGGCCAATGTGGGTATGCGAGAAAGCTTGCCAGTAGCTTCTCGTGGGTCGGTGGTTCTTTCCGGTGTTTTCCCAAGTTCTTCCTCCACCATCTATACTGGCCGTCACGTATAGCCTATCTAGTGCTGAGAAATGGCGTTAAACCCTACAACAACAACAACAACAACAACAACAACAACACCTTTCTAGTTGCACTGTGTGCAATGCTGGCGAAAGGAACATTATGTTGCACAAAAATTTCAGTCTTTTGGATAAAAACGTTATTGATAGCAGTTGCTACTAATTTCACTTTTAATTCATCACAGACAGAAGTATTCGATTTAAAGTCCAAATTTCAGTGACATATTGACGGAATGCTTACTAGAAAATTTTGACCATGAATTTAAAAGTTTTCAAGCTGCTGAATAGTATAATTTGCATAACTGCGATGAAATGAGAAAAAGAATGTAAGAAATTTGATATAAAACAGCATCAATAAACTCACTAATTTTAAAAACTAATTTTATAAACAAATCTCGCAGTTTTAAACTAGTGTGAAATTATTTCTTCCTGTTTATCATCTATTTATTGTCTGTTTATCATTTATCTTACGTTATCAGGTTAGATTTGAGAAATAGAAGCTAGATATTTAAGGGCCTGAAAAGGTTAGACCAATGACTGGATTAACGCTTTCGGTGCCCAGAGCACTTAATAATCAATATAAATCTACACATATACCATAAAAGTAGTCCTTAAACTGTCATTTACATGAGTATGTTAGCTTTGTTAAGCTAACTTTGGACCTATATATGGTTTATTTAAACACATGCAGTCTTATCTAGAACAGCCAGGAGGGGGGTTTCATAACTGGAGGTCTGTACTACATGACTCCTGTGCCCCCAATCCTGCCATGGATTGACCCCGTACGGTTACACGATGAAGAATTAATTGGGATCTATCAATGATTTATTTGGCAAGTAAGCTTCATAAACAATAAATAGCGATGCAAGGTTTGGGACATATGATTCCAACTAGATCTGCTTACCGCCTGAATTTCGTTTGTTACAAACCATCATAGGAATCGCCGTATAATATCATCAGAAGATTACGTGAGGTTTATATTAATTTCCCATCTTCCGTAAACATCTTGAAAAGCATCATAAACATTAGTCCAAACCACCTTCGAGGCGTCATACGTTTTCATCTGATTCTAGATTTATAAAGAAGAACATTTGGCAAGCGCTTTGGCCATAGTTGATGCGTTTAGGCATTGAATATCTGATTTATTACATGTACAAAAATCACCAAGTTAACGAAAGTCTAGAAATTGGTTAAGAAAATATTTTAAGAACATAACAAATGTTTTTATTTGTTTTTAAGAAGGTAATGTTCATTTATATTTACGACTGATCCTGAAAGGACCAGTAAAGTATCCGACATTATTCTTCTTGAAACTAAAAGATGAGCGAGGAAAGGATATGAAAAGTAAAAGTGAACTCCAACAAAGTATTTGCGCTTCATTGTGACAGGGAGTAGCAATGACAAAGCTGCAAAAACATTATAGAGGGCAAATTCCTCTTACAGTAATCCGAAAAGGGAATTTAGTTTACAAATATATAAATATGTAAATATCGGAACATAACTTAATAAAATAATAAACATGATCTGCTGTAGCAAAACTCTATGACTAGTATTTCAACAATCTAAATTCGAATTTTTGTGTGGTTTCAAACATCGGTACAGATGGTTACTATCTTTCCTAAAACAATGTTTTTTTTTATATGATCCAGATTTAATTGGAAGATAATACCATCCCCCATCCCCCCTGAGCCACCCTCCCCCAAAAGAAAATAAAGAGATTTATTTGCAAATATGTCTGGACGATAGATCGATTTCTGTCATGCCTTATATATATATATATATATATATATATATATATATATATATATATATATATATATATATATATATATGACAAATATAGGGCATGACAGATATATATATATATATATATATATATATATATATATATATATATATATATATATATATATATATATATATATATATATATATATATATATTGTTACGATGCAAAAAAAAGTGATTAAAATCTTGCCTCAGAGGGCTTAAGAAATTTATTGGTTCCTACCATCGTAATTATTTTTTATACACGCTCCGGAGTGAAGTAGGCGCTATTTTGCGAATCATGTTCTTTTCTTCTGTATTTTACTTAAATAAACGAATGGCTTTATCATATTAAAATTCCCCCTTTCGAGATAAATAAAAATCAAAATTAAAAATAACTAGACCGGCACTACTGTTTATCAATATCATTAAACTTCTAGACCACACAGACTGGTGTACAACAATAATATACAACTTAGCTTGCCAGGATTTTCCTGTAAAAGAATTTTCATGCTTCCTGTAGATTCTATCTTCTGGTCAGATAAGACTATATATTTAATACGTAACATATCGCCGTAATAACTTTAAAAAGTCTCTAAAAATAAACAATTAATGGTTCTGAAACCGTAACAATGAAGAGACTTATGAAGACTTGTTGGTTATTTCAGAATTAGATTTCTGATATTTGAATCACTGTACATTGTTCAGATTTACGCTATACTTTTATTTCTTTTATTATTTCATGGAAATAGGAATTTTTTCTTGCATTTACAGCAATCAACCTGTCGTATGAAATATATCTAAGCTAATGCATAACAAAGTGTCTTGTAATGCCATCTGAACAACAATAATATGTTAAGAATGCGAGATATAATATAGAATAGACAATGAAAAATTGCTAATTTTTTTTCAAAAACTAAACGTGTTTGTCATGCTCATTTACATATATATCGTACTGTTTGATGTTCCTCCTTTGATCAGTCCAGTCATACTCAATAGAGAAAATGTTCGCACTGGTCAAACACAAGATTTATGATAACTTTTAGAAACAGGTCTGAAATTGTTAAGAAATTATAGTTTTAAATTAGGACTGGACTCTGAGACATTAATATCTAAGGGACTATCAGTGTATTTCATAACGATTCGAACCTAGTACGACAGAAAACAACATGGGGCAACAATGTGAAATAATTAAATAGTGAGAATTTAGCAAGTAAACAAGCGGTTCCTGATTTCACCGTACCGGTGAATTTCGGGGAATACATGTAAAAATAGGAAACTGGACAAAGTCCAACGACATAGACACAACTTAAATATCCTCTCTAACCTAATGTTGAACAAATATATTGGTGCACATGAGTAAATTGAGAGGCGAATAAATGTCAGTAATGAGACGTTTGATGAACAGGGGAGATAAGCTAAGGCAATAAAAAAAGATTAATATTACGAAAGAATTGAAAGTGGAGAGGTTCCACCTGCAATGAAACTATTATCTACTACAGAGAATGCGAGGCTTACATGATATAAATGTTTAAATTCCAAATTCCAACATATGAAAAATGCATGAAACACAAATTGAAGAAAAAAAAAAAAGAAAAATAACATACACACAAACTAGTACAAGAACAGTTTTAGTGAGTTGAAAGGAAACAATATCACTTATATGGAAATCTAACAAACTTATTTCACAATTATTTCATTAGGTGAAAAGTAAATATGATTTCAGATTTATGTTAAATTTTGTAATTTCTATAGTTGAGAGAGAGAGAGAGAGAGAGAGAGAGAGAGTAATACATAATCATAAAAGATGTTTTTGGGGAAGGGGGTCAAAGTTAACACTCTAATCAGTCGGTCCGCTTCGGTGTCCTAGTGGTTAGAACGTAAGCCTAGGGAGCGGGAGGTCGTGGGTTCGAACCCCAATCGAGTCATACAAAGACTTACAAAAATAGTACTAACAGCTGCCTCGATAGGCGCTCAGCATTAATATATTAGTGTTAGGAAGAGTCTGCCTGTGTCAGGATAATGCGACTGGGACACCATGCAACATGTATACGGCATGATACCCCAATGCTAGACAACACTACAGACATGACAGATTTTTTTTAAAGCTATGTTAAAAATCCAAATGACAAACACACTAATTCGATCATCATTCCGTTTCCTTTTCTCCTAATTTTTCCATACTTACAATTAGTATTGGTATAAAGATATTGCCACAGTTAATTGATTTGCAATTAGTATTGGTATAAAGTTATTATAACAGTTAGTTGACTTATAATTAGTATTGGTATAAAGGCATTGTCACAGGTAATTGACATACAAAATAACGTACAGCAGAATAACCATGTCTGATAGTTCAATTAGAATAATCAAATAAGATTTGATATTTTAGAAAAGCTGAAGATTTACAGATAACATAAATATGAAAATATCAAGAAAAACATTATCAATCCCAACATAAATATTTGATAAAACCGAACGATATTAAAACATCACATGATAACGCAGTGTAAGAAGTAGATATTTTAGAGTCAGCCATAGAACTGTGAAAACGTAATATAAATCCGAAATCACTGTTAAGTTTCAAAGTAATAACGTTTAAAATGACTAACAGTTAAAGTTGGCTTCTATGACAGAAATTCGTTTCGCTTCTTTATTCCACGAAATGGCAAATTTGGAAACGTAACGTATACTTCGGATGGTTTCATAACGTTTTGGAAGCGTAACGTTTACTTTAGATGCTTTCATACCGTCTTATATATTAGTATTAGAGGTCGCAACCTCGTCTACAGAGTCGATGACTGCCAGTGACACAGCAAGACAAACAACAGTATTTAAGAATTCTTTATTATGATCATAAACGTAGAGGTGCTTGCACAAATATTAATCACTTCCACGAACAAATTAAACAAAACGAAACGAAAAGAAAATAAGCAGAATAAAAAGATTGGTTAAATGAACAATCAAGGTACACATTACACAAGCAAGCTATACAAAGATTCCAGACATTGTTGGCATGCAAGAATACGAAAACTAACAATGAAAGTTGGTCCACTTTGAGTGTGTATATGTCTTTCGCAAAATACTCATGGGTTGGAAAGCGAAAAACAAAAGGAGGGATGACACATAAATCCTCAACATGATAAATCATTAACATGGTAAATCCATACATGATAAAGCCTCAACATGGTAAAGCCTCAACATGATAAAGCCTCAACATGGTAAAATCTCAACGTGATAAAGCCTCAACATGATAAAGCCTCAATATGATAAATCCTCATGGTAAAGCCTCAACATGACAAATCATCAACATGATAAATCATCAACATGATAAATTCTCAACACGGAAAAATCTCAACGTGATAAAGCCTCATCATGATAAAGCCTCTACATGCTAAAATCTCAACATAATAAATTCTCAACATGGTAAAATCTCAACGTGATAAAAGCCTCAACATGGAAAAATCTCAACGTGATAAAGCCTCATCATGATAAAGCCTCTACATGGTAAAATCTCAACATAATAAATTCTCAACATGGTAAAATCTCAACATGATAAAACCTCAACATGATAAATCCTCATGGTAAAGCCTCAACATGACAAATCATCAACATGATAAATCATCAACATGATAAATCCTTAACATGGAAAAATCTCAACGTGATAAAAGCCTCAACATGGTAAAGCCTCAACATGATAAAGCCTCAACATGGTAAAATCTCAACGTGATAAAGCCTCAACATGATGAAGCCTCAACACGGTAAAATCTCAACGTGATAAAGCCTCAACATGATAAAGCCTCAATATGATAAATCCTCATGGTAAAGCCTCAACATGACAAATCATCAACATGATAAATCATCAACACGATCAATCCTCAACATGGAAAAATCTCAACGTGATAAAGCCTCAACATGGTAAAATCTCAACGTGATAAAGCCTCAACATGATAAAGCCTCAACATGGTAAAATCTCAACGTGATAAATTTTCAACATGGTAAAATCTCAACGTGATAAGCCTCAACATGATAAAACCTCATCATGATAAAGCCTCAATATGATTTATTATCAACATGATAAATCATCAAAATGATAAAGCCTCAACATTATAAAACCTCAACATGGTAAAATCTCAACGTAATAAAGCCTCAACATGATCAAGCCTCATCATGATAAAGCCTCTACATGGTAAAATCTCAACGTAATAAATTCTCAACATGGTAAAATCTCAACATGATAAAACGTCAACATGGTAAAGCCTCAACATGACAAATCATCAACATGATAAATCATCAACATGATAAATCCTCAACATGGAAAAATCTCAACGTGATAAAGCCTCATCATGATAAAGCCTCTACATGGTAAAATCTCAACGTAATAAATTCTCAACATGGTAAAATCTCAACATGATAAAACCTCAACATGATAAATCCTCATGGTAAAGCCTCAACATGACAAATCATCAACATGAGAAATCCTCAACATGGAAAAATCTCAACGTGATAAAAGCCTCTACATGGTAAAATCTCAACGTAATAAATTCTCAACATGGTAAAATCTCAACGTGATTAAGCCTCAACTTGCTTAAATCTCAACGTGATAAAATCCTCTACATGGTAAAGCCTCAACATGATAAAGCCTCATCATGATAAAGCCTCAACATGGTAAAATCTCAACGCGATTAGGCCTCAACTTGCTTAAATCTCAACGTGATAAAGCCTGATCATGATAAAGCCTCAGTATGATAAATCATGAACATGATAAATCATCAACATAATAAATCTTCAACATGATAAAGCCTTAACATGATAAAGCTTCAACATAATAAAGCCTCAACATGATAAATCTTCAACATGGTAAAGCCTCAACGTGATAAAACCTTAATATGATAAAGCCTCAACGTGATAAAGCCTTAACATGATAAATCCTTAACATGGTAAAGCCTCAAAAGATAAATGTTTAATTAAGAACAAGAGGTTCAAAAAAAGAAATATGATTTGATAGGAAAACAATATGATGACAAATTTTGGACTGACTCCATTGGCACATTCGGAGGGAACAACAGTAGTTGTAAAATGTTTGAAATACATAGAAAACTGATAGACAAATTGGATGAATGAAATAAAAAATTAAAGTTGCAAAATATAGAAGATCAATTACAAATATAGTAAATTAATCGAGTAGTAAGAAACGTAGAAATATAATTACATATCTTTGTGGAAAAAACGTTAAACAAAGGCTCAAAAGGTATTTTCACAAGAAAGGTCACTTTCATATTCAAAGCATATATAGAAATGTTCAATGTATTGATTTTTGGTTAGAACGTCGTAGATAAATAGATTCCAGATTGCAAAAACAACTTAATAAATAAAATACTTTCCATTATCCAACCGCGCTGAAAATCGATAAATAAAAGGTTAACATAAGTGACAAACTTACCAAGATTACAATGTTCTATACTTAATCAGAATACGTAACCTCGAGTTATTAAAATGTCCTGATAACATCACAAAGTGACACTTAGACAGTGAAGAGTACGAAAAGATCACAAAGTGACATGTAGTACAACATCAAGTGGTCGTATTTCCTGCTAACACCTGATGGACAAAAATATACCAGATTAAGAGAAATCACCATACAAAGGACAATGTTAGATAATTAGTGAGAAATTATAGTATTTGTATTAGTATTTGTTAGGGTTATGCTGTATCAAGTGTATATCGACTGCAACATATGTTCATATCATCTAATGAAATAGAAAAATTAATAGTTAATTATGTTCCGAAATAGGTCTCTGCTCAATCAAAACTTAATGTTTTGCAAGATTTCTTCCTCCTTGAAGTCCTCAAAAACTAGCAGCGCATTCGAGAATGTTTTGACGTTTGGAAAAAAGATACATGTGTACCATGTAACAAGTTTAAAAATTTCGTATATGTTCTCGCAATTGCACATCACTAATGAGCAGGGAAACCAAGGCAAACTGCATCACTTAAAACAATCTTCCATTCTCGTCGCCACACAATTTGAGGGTTTCACTTCACACCAACACAAAATGCCGTTCAATGCTTCTTGATAAAAGTGACGTTCAAATGTCTATTTCTGTTTGTATAGTCGATTGTATTTTATTTTCTGTGTTTGGTTGCATTTTGAGACATTCTTTAGCAAAAATCATTATCAGATTATTTAGATGAGAGATGCTAAAATAGAATAAGTGCTCTATAATATTCTTGGAGAGACATCAACTGGGAATTTAATATTGAATTCAAAAAAGAAAACATTGCATTATATTACTGCGATTCAATAAAAGACTGTTGGCACATTATTAAAATTTTTCAGGCCATTGGTACATTAGTACATTAGAGTCTACCTGCCGTTATTGGTATATCAGCACCTTCAGCATTGGAAAATATCTGGAAAATAACTAAAAATTATATAGAACGTTATGCCGTACGTTCTTTTTACATTTTTATTTTGTATTCGAAATAAATTATTCCTTGAAAATTGTAATGCTTATTGCTTACAGAGCCGTAATGGAATTTGGGGGCTCATACGATATACAAATTTCTCTAAAATATTTCAGAAAACTTAACTTCTGAAATTTAAATTAATTTTGTTCCGGAATTGTCTAACTGCCGTGTATTATGCTGCAAACTGACAAGTTGTGCATACTCTCCACTTTACTTGCAAGTTCAGGTTTTGATTTTACTAAAAATGTTAGGCTAGTACCCCCTTTTCAAGAAAAAGAAGTAAATCAATATGTTTTGTCATTTCAATGAAATTACTGAAAAGTTGGAATGAACAAGAGATCATTGGACTTTGTTATTACATAAAGTACTTATTTGCAAAGTTTATGATATTTACATTTCATTGTCACAACAGCAGAGTGCTGGTTATGATGTAGTGAATATATCTTCGAGGATTATG